CCCCCCCCCCCCCCCCCCCCCCAACCACCGCCTCCACTCAAAATCACTGGCTGCCGAAAATATTCAATGGGTTCTATTACAAAATACCGTTTTAGCGTTTAGATTTCGAGCGCACACGATCAATTTTTCATTTCGCGTCGCACGGTGGATCGAGTCAATCGAGGTTGGACATGGCAACATTGTTTTTCTCCACTTAAACCTATGGAAATGTATCGATTCTTGGAGGGACCAGATGCTCCAACAAGAATCGATTATTTAACATTGGTTTAAATGGAGGGAATCCGGTGTTGCCAAATTGCTGGATCCGCCTCTGCGTTTATAAATATTTTTGAGGTTCTAAAAGTGGCTCCATTGGTTTCTTCGGAAAATTTTCTTCCCTGCGCACCCCTTGCAATTTAAAATGTGACGAAATAAGTATCAAAATTTGCAGCTTTAGTAAAAAAATTCACGTCCGAGCTCTCCAATTGACTCGATGCACTGTGGGTAGTCGGAAAAGCCTCCTGTTTCGCCCACAAATCCTACAAATTTGTGGTGAAATAAGTTTTGGGTGAAACTTAGAGACATTACAATGGAGGTAAGCCCCTCTCCACTAATTTTGAACCCATCACTACAACTGGTGATACAATATTTTTGGGGTTAAACTGGGTGATTTTTGATGATCCATTGCATTTCGTAATGAAACATGGATTTGGGACTAAAATGCAAGTAGCGCATAACTACGATGACAATCTTCAAGTCAATAGCGCAGCTCTTTCATGTGAATTCTTCTACTTCTTATATGTTTTCGGGTTCCCTGGAACACTTTCAATGAGAGCTTTCCCCACCCTGAATGTTTGTGGTTTTATTTCAAGGTGTGTTTCGTTTTGTTATCAGGATCCGAAAGTCGTCCGTATAACTACATCTCAGGACGACTGTAGAACATGGATTTCAGCTCGGCGCCCCTCAATGACAGCTCCAGTGGCTGGATCAAACACTGGAAACAGATCACCGATGAGTTCAAACCAGGTTTGAGATTATTTATAGTTTTGCAAAACATATTTTTACGATAAACATGCGTGGAAAAAGCATTTTAGAGGAATAATGTAGGTTCGGGTCCATTACTTTTCTTCAATTTATCACGATAACATATTTTTGTGACTGACTTTGGGAAAAATGAGTATTTTATTTCCCTCATAAATTTGAATATAAAGTTATTGATATCAGCGCACAGCAAGAGGAAATTATGGAAATGTTGACATCGGTGAGTGCCTTTTCATGAAAGTATTGAAATCTGCGTATCTTCATTGCGCCGGTTAAAATTTCATATTTGGTTTTATTTTTCTGTGAAAAACTAACCAAAATATTTCCTCGTAATTTCCTGTGAATATCTTTGAATAGAAGAGAATAACTCACATATAATTTAAAGAGTGAGTAGTAAGTGTTGGTTGGATTCCTTTCGAAAATTCAAAAAATGAACGTAGACTTGCAACGACCCTGCAGAAGATACGTATTTTACGACTTCAGCCATCGATGGTAAAAATACGATGAACGGCATTCTTGACCACCTTTCTCGAAAATGTGGATCTAAATACACTTACTAATCATTTTTCCTACATACCTGTCAAAGTTTTTAACTTATATTTAGACAGAGCTTACAATAAACAATGTGGGGCCACGTAACAATACGTGACATGTTGGGAAAAAGTAAGTTTAGTGTGGTTTCAAGCGCAATTATACGCAGGGCCGTATTAAGGGGGTGGCCACATGGGCCGCGGTCCATGGCGGCAAATTTAGGGGGCGGCAAATGTTGTAATTTTTTCAAATGCAGGTATCAAAAAAAAAATCTGATTCAAAAGAAAAATTACAGATGAGGAAAGGCGGAAAAATCTCTCATTTCCCGAGAGTTAAAGTAAAGTAATTTCTAATTTGTTCATCTTTCGGTGATACAAGAGACAGCGCCTTTCATTTGTCTAGTTGAGAGAGAAATCAAACACGCAATTTGGCTTGCAGCGGCGCGGCGCAGAGAGCAATGATGACGAGAACTTGAGATGGAAAGGAGAGGCCCTATCGGCGCACCGGTCAGCATGAAACACATACCTATTAGCGCCTACAAGACTCCATGAATACTTCACGCATTGCGTCAAACGTAGTTCAGTCAGCAGCGGTTGGCGTGAAACTCGAGTGCCTACAAGACTGCATGAATACTTCACACATTGCGTCAAAAACAGTGCGGTCACTCGGTCAGCGTGAAACGCATAGCGCCTACATGACTGTAGGGATACTTCACGCATTGCATCACAGTGCGGTTGGCGCGGTGGCGGAAATTAAAATCATGATAGACCACATTCGTGTTTATTCTTATTCATAATTTTTTCGTTCTTTTCTTATAAATGAAAGGCATCGTCCACACAGAGATAGGTCTTAAGGAACTTAATTTTCGCGCAAAGTTCCGTGAACTTTTACTAGTGTTGACAGGGCTTTCATAAAAAATGTGCCCAACGCGAGTAAACGCGTCTTATGTACCCCTCCTACTCTGGCCCGTTCACTTGATGGTTTGTACGGATGTTTCAAAACGAATGAGAAGGGGCGGCAAAATACAGGCGGCCCATGGGCGGCAAGAGGGTAAATCCGGCCCTGATTATCCGTACATTTTCTTCTGGAAATTTCGATATTGAGACAGAGCATTCTGATATAATAGGGGTCAAACTTAGACTTTAACATTGGGCCCTTTGAGGGATTACAATTCCACATTTCTTTTTCTCGGTTTCAACTTGACGTGGTTTGGTTTTACTCTGCTGAACTTGGTCCATTTAACTCTTTGTATACCATACTTTTTCACTCCGGATTTCAAGTACTTTTGATTTGTTTATATTTATAACCTTAATTTGATTGCAGACAGAGAAGTCGACACCTGGTTCCTTATGGGCTCCCCGTGGCCAATGATGGTCATCCTCCTTCTCTATCTACAGTTTGTCCTCAAGTCCGGCCCGGAGATGATGAAAAACAGGCCGCCCCTAAAATTAAGAGGCCTTATAATATTTTACAATACTTTCCAAATTTGCCTCAATGGAGCACTGTTCTTCTCAGTGAGTTATAGTTCTACTTATAGATCAGAATGACACACAAAAATAATTTGACGAAACAAAACACAAGAAAATTGGAAACCTAGGCTAAAAACGAACAGAATGCCTCGGACGCCTGCGGTTACGGGGTGGTTTGAACCCCCTGCTCGACCAGGAAATGAAATTATAAAATAAAAAAAACCCAGACCTCTATTTGTGACAACGTAAAAGAGAGGTTATCACAGAGGTATAGAACACATGGATATGTTTATTAAGTTGTGTCACTTTAGTTGACGCAGTGTTACGGTACGTTACGAGAATAAACTTCTGTGAGGAAATTCGGTGCAGAATTAAATGCATTTCACGCCCTCATTGGTACAAAAATTGAAGAATATCCAACTCAAACAGTATATAAAGGGACAAGAGACCCTTCATTAGTATCTTGGCAATGGTGGAAGCTTTTACTTCCGGGACTTAAACTTTCAACACTAGGATGGTTAACAACGTATTAAGAATTTTGTTTGGCAAACAAACCAAAATTTGGAAAACTTGTTCAGCTCATAATGTCAACCGAATCTCGTCATCCACTTAGTAGGTAAGATGATTTTTGCCCGGGAGTAAACATTTTCACCTGTCGCCAAGAGGCCAATGGAGGGTCTTGTGTCTCTGATTCCTCACGAAATTGGAATGAGTTTTTCCCTTGTATTCTCAGCAACCGGTTTATCAAACACAACTCGACAAAAATTGTGTCACTGAAAATGTTTCTTTCTCTGGAATCTGGGGTCTATTTGGACGTATTTCTGCCAAACGGAACTATGTGCATTGAGACATGAGCCCTGAGACCCATAAGAATATATGCATTACAGGGCTCACGTCGCAATGCACATAGTTCCGTTTGATAGAAATACGTCCATTCGTCGTTTCCGTACGAAGGATCGTAACTCCACGCTTGCACAATTGACTCAAACAGTCCAGTTTTTTTTACGAGAATAAACCTGCATAATTTTCGTCGAAAATTTGTCTGCTTTTTGCATGAGGTCAGAAGAAAAATTAGTGAAATTTGCAGTTAGAAATTCTCAAAATTCTACCGGTCAAAATGCAATTTGCGTGGAAAAATCTGGCAAAATTGAAATGCAGTTACGTCTTTTCATGAGGAAAATGACGTGGTTTCCGCTGAACGGTCGTCGTCATTAAAATCATATGATTTTCCAATGCAAAGTCGAGTTTTCAAAATTTAAAAGTCAAAACAATTAGTTTATTTTAATTATTTTATACATCTTTTGAACTTTGTTTTCATTTCAGTGTTTTGGAACACCTGGCTTCGTTTCCTATGTTTGGCGAGAATGCTGTCGACCGACCGCTGTGGCAGTTTCACCCCAGGAAGCTGCTCATTTACTCCTTGTAAGGATTCTGTCACCGGCATTGACGGATCCAGCAAATTGGCAACATTGTTTTTCTCCGTTTAAACCTATAGAAATGTATCGACTCTTGGAGAGACCAGTGCTCCGACAAGAATCCATAAGTTAGCATAGGTTTAAATGGAGGGAATCCGGTGTTGCCGAATTGCTGGATCCGCCTGTGAGTTTGTCGAACGTGTTAATTCTACGTTCGTGGTCAGCAAATGAGGACGATTTTTAAATAGTGTTCAACAAAATAGATGTCAGACCAGAACTTTAGCATTTCTTTTGGATATTCACGTCTACACCCTTTGCAGTGCTGCTGAGGTCGTGAATGCTAATCGATGGTGAAACGACCAGGCCACGTACCTCGTTTGTGGTGTTTGAAAATCTCCGCTCCCATTTTATTTTTTTGAAGGAAAATGTGCACATCAACATATCATTTTATGAAATGTTTACAGAATTTTCATCGCACGGAGAAGAACATCTCGAAGACGAGCGTTTCGTCTCCGCAAAGGAAAGTAACGTCTCTGGTGAGGAAACTTTCCTGCGCAGAGAGGAAACTTTCATTTCCAGAAAGGCTACTTTCGTTTCCGGATAGGAAAACATTTCTCTCGAAAACAGCTACTCAATGCAGAGGAGAGAAATGTTTTCTATCCCGAGCAACTAGTTTGAGGTTGGGAAAGGCATTCCTCTCCTCTGCATTGAGTAGTTCTTTTCGAGATCGAGAAATGTTTTCTCTCCCAAGCAACTGCTTGGTGCTTAAGAGAGGAATGTATCCGTTCCTAAGCATAAACTAGTTGCTCAGGAGTGCTAACATTTCTCTCATTTGCACCGACTAGTTGTTCCGGAGAGAACACATTTCTCTGCTTCGCACTGAGTAGGTGTTTAGGAAAGATATGTTATTTCTTCTAATCATGGACTGGTTGCTTCTTGGTACCCAGGTTTCAACCAGGGCACTGATTCCCTGGTAGGACGCCTTCAGCGAGTCGAGTATGTGATGAGCTATAATCAGCACGCACAACGTATTCGTAACAACAATTTCTGCGGACGCTGCTGAAGGCGAATTTCTTTCGCATAAAACACCTTCAGAGAGTGAAGTATGTGATGAGCTAAAATCAGCACGCACAACATATTCGTAACAACAATTGCTGCAGACGCAGCAGAGAGCGGATTGTTCGGTTTAAAAAAAAGGAGTAAATGATAGGTAGTCTGCATGTAACAAGAGGGCATGTATTCGATCGACATGAATCGAACGAAAAATAAAAACGTGAACCGATCAATAACAATTCAATAGACAAATAAATACAAAAGCGGATCAAAATTAGTAGGAGACTTGCATTTACTATGAAAATTTCAAATTGCGATACCTTGAAATTAGGGTCAGCCAAGATTTTGATTTTTCGCAATTTTAAGTCCACGTATACTACAGACTCACCCCATTTCCGAAACCGTTTTTAAGTACATTTTTGCCGCGCTTTTTTCGCTTCAAGACCAGTGTGTAGGGTAAAGAAGAAAACACCAAAATTTACACTTGTAAGGTTACGTTGAGGACGCCATAAACCTCGGATGATAAAAAACCGAATTTTTAGGAGTTTTTATCAGAGACAACTGGGATATTTTGCTACAACCTTGTGGCAAGTTTTGGATCTCTTGAGATTGAAGGCACTTATAAAGAGAGCGGAACACAACACAATACTCGTATACAATAAAGCTGAAGGGCAGATAAGACTAATTCTTACTATCGCCGTTCATTTGTTAAAACCCAAAATTTCTAATACTTTTAAAAAATTTTACTATCCTCATGCAACGTGTATAGAGGGAAGGAGTCATCTACAGTAAGTCTAATTTTTAATTTCGTTGTGCTGAAATCTATTCGCAACGAATTGCATTCCCTATCATAGGTCTACTTTCATCCGTACGATAGTTTTTTAATTAAATCATTTTTCAATTTTTCAGTTCAATCGAGGAAGCTGGTGGTTTTTGATGGCCAAAGTTCTTGATCTCTTAGATACTGTAAGTACTATGCGAGAAAAACTTGTTTAATTGGACATATTTTTGCTGAAAGGAACTATGTGCATAGGATTTGCGTGCAACCTAGTTCCTCCTACCATAATGCTAAAAGGAACTATGTTGCATGTAAACCCTATGCACATAGTTCCTTTTAGCATTAGGGCCGGATTAAGGGGGTGGCCACATGGGCCGCGGCCCATGGCGGCAAATCGAAGGGGCGGCAATTTGCAATTTTTTAAAGTGTAGGTATAAAAAAAAAATCGGATTTATAAAAACAAAATTACAAACGAGAAAAGGCGACAAAATCTCTCATTTCCTGAGAGTGTAGTAATTTCTAATTTTGTCGTCTTTTAGTGATGCTAGAGACAGCACCTTCAATAAGTCGAGTTAAGGAGAGAGACCAAACACGCAATTTGGCCTGGAACGGCGCGACTTAGAGGGAAATGGTAACAAGGACTTGAGATGGAAAGGAGAAGCCCTCGGCGCGGCAATCGGCATGTAACACATATTAGCGCCTACAAGACTGCACGAATACTTCACGCATTGCATCAAACACAGTGCGGTCATTGCGGTCAGCGTGAAACGCATAGCGCCTACAAAACTGTCGGAATACTTCACGCATTGCGCCAAACACGGTGCGGTCTGCGCGGCGCGGCGGTTGAAGTTAAAATCATTGATCCACCTTTTTGTTTTTTCTTTCATAATTTTTTCGTTCATTTCTTATGAATGGAAGGCCTTGTCCACACAGAGATAGGTTTACGAAACTTAACTTTCGCACAAAGTTCCGTGAATTTTTGCCTGTAGTGTTGACAGGGCTCTCCTAAAAAATTTGTTCTACACGAGTAAATGCGTCTTATGCACCCCTTCCCCGCTGACACGCTCATTTGATGGTTTTTATCGAGTTTCAAAACGAACGAGAAGGGGGCGGCAAAATACAGGCGGCCCATGGGCGGCAAGTAGGTGAATCCGGCCATGTTTAGCATAAATACGTCCAATTATAATTCATATTTTCTCATTTAAATTCCCTTGCATTCTAGTTAAATTACTGAAAATTCTAGAATATACATTTTTTTGTTTCCATGGGAATGATAAGACGATGCTTATTTTATGTGAGGTAAGCAATTCAATTTAGAAAAGCCTGGGAAAGCCAGTGATTTATGAGATATCAACAACCAAATTCCGTCACCCTTCGGCCAAACTATTACAAGCGCCGTGCGACGTTTAGAAATTTCCGCCGCCATTTTATTTTTTTACAGTGAAATTGTTGGTTGAATCTGTTTGAAAATTTCACTGAATTGTATCGGCAGCACGAAGAAAATTCGGTGAAATTTTCGGACGGCATCTTTGAACAATTTCTCTGTAAAAGAATGAAATAGTGGCGAAAATTTGTAAACGTCTCACGGCGCTTGTAATAGTTTGGCCGGAAGGTGACGATTTATTCTCATGAAGTTTTCATCATTTAATTTCGCAGATGTATACATATAAATTGTAGGTTTCATAATTTCTGTAACGCATTATCATCTGTAGTAACATTTTTTTCCCATCGGTGCCTGGTAGTTATAGGCTCCCTTCTTTGAATTTTTAGAAAGACCCCCCCCCCCC